GCAGAAGGTGTGTTTGTGGCCAATTTGTTATGTTATTCGTCTAGTGAAGAAACGACTATTCATGTGTTGGACGGAGAGGACTGTGCCCTCCAATTTTTGCATGATTTGGATGATCTCACGGACATTCCAGACCATGAGGGCGAGCGGGAGATTCTTGTGGTGTTTCATAATTTGAAAGGCTTCGATGGCATGTTTATTCTGCACGAACTGTACCAGCAACAACGCGAAGTGGTGGATCAACTGACGGTGGGCGCCAAAGTCTTGTCCTTCAGGAGTGGACCCCTCAAATTCATTGACTCGTTGTGTTTCTTGCCCATGCCACTCGCCTCGTTTCCCAGCACCTTCAATTTGACCGAATTAAAGAAGGGCTTCTTTCCGCATTTGTTCAATACCCCGGATCATCAACAGTATGTGGGTCGGATCCCCGATTTGGAATTTTACGATCCCGAGGGCATGATGGCCAAAAAGAAAGACGAACTGACGCGTTGGCATGCGGACCAAGTCCGTCGTAACGTGCGTTTTGATTTCCAGCAAGACATGATGGAGTATTGTAAATCGGATGTGGCGCTGTTGAAAGCGGGGTGTGAAGCCTTTCAGCAAGAATTTGAACAGCAAGCTGGCTTCAATCCCATGGCCAAATGCATCACCATCGCCAGTGCCTGCAATCTCTATTGGCGCAAGCACCATTTGACCCCCGACACCATTGCCGTCGAACCACTCAGGGGCTGGCGAGGGGCTCAAGTCAATCAATCGCTCAAGGCCCTACAATGGCTGTACTACCAAGAACACCTTATTACTAAAGAGGGGGCTAGTGCCGATCGCATTCGTCATGTCCGGAATGGGGGCGAGCAGTTTGTCCGGACCCTCGTAAACAGTTATTTTGTCGATGGGTATGATCCCTTGACCCGCACTGTTTATGAATTTCATGGGTGTCTCTACCATGGCTGTCCCACTTGTTTTCCTATGAGAAACGCCAAACATTATGCCACGCCCGATCGAAGCGTGGAAGAACTCTATCAAGCCACGCTCTCCAAACGCATGGCCCTGCTCCGAGGGGGTTACACGGTGATCGAAATGTGGGAGTGTGAATGGGACAAGTTGGTGGACACCGATGAAGCCGTCCAACGTTTCCTGACGTCGTTCGATTTGGTGGCTCCTCTGGAACCCCGTGACGCTTTTTTGGGGGGTCGAACCGGTGCGGTGGCTCTCCATGCCGTGGCTGGGGAGAATGAAGAGATACGCTATGTGGATGTGACCTCCCTGTACCCGTGGGTGAATAAGAACTGCCCTTACCCCATTGGTCATCCCAAGATCATTACCCAGCCCGCTGACCAGTCCTTGGCGTCTTATTTTGGTATGGCTACGGTGGATATTCTGCCCCCGGTTGGTCTATTCCACCCCGTCTTGCCTGTACGTTGTGGTCAAAAGCTCACCTTTCCTCTCTGTCGTGCCTGTGTCCAGACAGAGCAGGCCCAACCCATGTTGACCCGAACCCAGTATTGCCCTCATTCGGACGCGGATCGCACGCTACGTGGGACCTGGTGTACGCTCGAATTGGTCAAAGCTGTGGAAAAGGGGTACACCCTGATCAAGATCCATGAAGTCTGGCATTTTCCCCCTGAGCAACGCCAAACGGGTCTTTTCGCTGATTATGTCAATACCTGGCTCAAATTCAAACAAGAATCCGCGGGGTGGCCCAGTTGGTGTCAGACTCTCGAGCAAAAACGCGAGTACATTCTTCGCTACCTGGAACGGGAGGGGATCCGACTGGACATTGCCAATATTGCCAAAAACCCTGGTCGCAAAGCCACCGCCAAACTCATGTTGAACAGTTTTTGGGGTAAGTTTGGTGAGCGCATCAACAAACCCACCACCGTCACCGTCCAAAACCCCGCCCATTTGTTCAGCCTCGTTTCCGATGCGGCTCTCGATATCAGTACGCTCCGCCTCTGTACCGACGACATTTTGGAAGCCGTCTACACCAGTGTCCAAGACAATGCCGTCAAAGGCACCAAGACCAATATCTTTGTGGCGGCGTTCACTACATGCCATGCCAGATTGAAACTCTACGAGTCCCTGGACATCCTGCAACAGCAAGTCCTTTACTACGATACTGACAGTGTGGTGTACAAGTGGCGTCCCGGTCAACCCAGTATTGCCACTGGGGATTTTCTAGGCGATATGACGGATGAATTGGATGGAGACGTCATCACTGAGTTTGTTTCGGGGGGCGCCAAGAATTATGGGTACACGACCCGTGGAGGTAAAGTGGTGTGCAAGGTCCTCGGTTTCACGCTGAACGTCCGGGGGTCGGCCATCCTCAATTTTCATACCATGAAAGAGAACATTCTCTCGGAATTAGACTCGCCTCTGGACACTCGCCGAAATTTGAACATTGTCAACCCCTATCATTTCACACGGGATTTGGAAAAGAAACACATTCAAGTGGTTCCGCGCGTGAAGCAGTATGGGTTGGTGTTTGACAAGCGCGTCATCCAGGTGGCTACCCGATCCAGCTATCCCTATGGCTACGAGAGGATTGGGAACGAATTGGATCTTCTATTAGATTTGTAAAAAAGGGCGTGACGTCATTCGGACGTCACACACGTCCCGGATGTCATTTAGGGCACTGTCGATACTTGTATTAAAAAATGATGTGGACCTCAATACAGTGTGTGTGTTTTTTTATGGACTTCCGGGGATGCGAGGGGATTGGGGCTTTGTTTTGAGTGTCCCATTTGTACCCAGGTTCTACGCGGTCCTTTAAAACTATGCCAAGTATGTGGATCCACCTCTTGGGTGGGGTCACGTGATTTTTATGCCCAAATATGGGCATTGTGACGTCAATCAAGTCACATGGGCTAAATACTCGATGCTGATTGGTCGAGAAAATTTCTGCTGCGCTGTGATTGGTCGGTACCCAGTGGAGCCCTATGTACTACTCGGAACATCATGTAGATGTTACAAGATTCCATCAACTCAATTAGTATAGTACATTTGCCTTTGGACTACGCTGGTTGCGAAACTGAAAGACATTAATTTGAAGCTGGGGAAAACCCCGGTTCACTGAGACTGTCAAATCAGCGATTGCCGATTTAGATCCTCAAACAACACAAATCGGCACGAACATTGGAGAGAAAGAAAAGAAAATGAGTTTAAAATTGAAGCGTCAATTTCCAATCAGGCTTTAGCTAACTAGTTTTTGGACTAACACATTAAATAGACCGGAATTCAAAGTTGAGCACTTTATTTCTTTAAGCCCCATGCAATATCCACATACAAATTCTTCAAACCGGTCTCTATAAAGTTCCTTAAAGGATAAGTTAAGAGAATTTGATAAAAGATTGAAGCATTTTCTCTTAGGTGATAATTTTATTAATTCTCATAACCCAGTCTCTTGACCTCGTATGGATATTATCAGGAGAAAATTGACGATTGTCCCTAGGCTGGTTTTTTTTTACTAGCGACGGAGTTGGAGTCGGAGTCGTAATCAGAAGCGTAGAGCTTATGATTTAGTGAAAACAGCGTTTCGATTTCGCCGACGACTCCGTCGCTTACGTTCCGCTTATGATTTAGTGAAAACCAGATTGTCGGAGTCGGAAGCAGAAGCAGAAGAACTAAACCAATCACAAAGCGTGGGAAAGCGCATTGTGATTTAACAACAACACACTTTATTAAGAGACAGATATTTACAATTTGAATAGTACCTACCCACAAATAGTTAAAACTAGTCGAGGCGGGTAGGTATGATTAAGTTAGGCTTATTACAACCAGGGTTTTTAGCGCTAAACATATTTACTTACAAGGATTTCAAATTAGCAGCCCTGATATTAAGATTACAATAAATAGTAAATTAAAATAATGATAGCAGCAATGCAAAAAAGATGCAAATAATAATTATAGAACAAATTAAACTACTATACACAGAGAAATGGGACAAAGAAAGAGATTTCACTATACTGGTTGTAGTTACAGGATTGCTACAGTTTTACAAGTTTTTAATAATTAAAAACTTGTAAAACTGTAGCAATCCTGTAAGTACGACCAGCATTTCAAGAATTGAAGACGGTTCTCTTCTTTGAAAATATTAGTACTGAAGTGTTTCATGTATTTGTTTCTTAAATAAGTTTTTACCGGCAGACTTTTTAATATTTTCATGTAAAGCATTCCATAGCCGCACGATAAATCGGGAAAATGAATTTTTTAGTTGTTCAAGACGAGAAAACATGACATAAAATTTGTTAGCAGTTGCTGATTTGGTGTTGTAGGAATGTATATCTGAGACATGGGTAAATAAATTTTGAATACGAGGCGGAGCTTGCGGCCAGAAAGCGTCTCCAAGGGTGCATGTTTATTGACCAGTCTATTAAATTTATTGTAAAACGTCGAGAATATTTTATCTATGATTGGTTTATCCTTCCGCTTCTGCTTCCGACTCCCGTCCGACAATCTGGTTTACACTAGATCATAAGCGGAACGTAAGCGACGGAGTCGTAAGTGGAGCCGGAAGAAATGGAAACGTAGTGATTCTTCTGACTTCGACGGTCGCGCTTGTGACTCCGCTTACGACTCCGATTGTTGATTTTCAGTAGGTCATAAGCGCTCTTACAACTCCGACTCCGACACTAGTGAAAACCAAAGGAGACCGGGCTATGACTCACTAAACGCTGCTCCTCGAAACCGAAAGCATTTAATATTGATGAAGGGGAAAACCCCCGTGTCTGTTTGGACTTTAAGCTGTCGTTAGGTATAGGAATAACAAAACTGTTTTTATGGCGAGTAGGGAAAAACCCTGGTGTCTGTTTAGACTTAAGATAATTGGTTCGGATACCGAACTGTTTGTATGGAGTGTGGGGAAAAAACCACTGTCTGTTTATAATAATAATAATAATTTACCAATTTATATAGCGCGTATTTACATGTGCTGATCAATAGCGCTTTACAATCATATGTTTAAAAGAAAACGAAAATACATTACCGTGAGAATAAAATAAACTAAGTTACAAACTATAAAAATACTTCTTAAAAAGATAGGTTTTAAGTCGAGATTTAAAACTGCTAAGTGATGTTGCTTGACGAAGCTCTACAGGTAGCTCATTCCAGAGTTTCGGAGCTGCTGCTGAGAATGATCTTGCTCCCAATGTTGTAAGCATCTTTCCCTTGGGATGGTCCAATAAGAGCTTACCAGTAATGTATATAATGAATTCGATTTTATACTACAGTTGAACCCCGCTATTTCGAACTCGGTTAATTCGAAGTCCCCGCTATTTCGAAGGAAGATCGAATTCCCTTGGATTTACCCTTACGTTTTTAGTCATTTACTATAAGCTATTTCGAACTCGGTTATTTCGAATTCCCCGCTATTTCGAACTCATCGTTCTTTCCCTACACCTTAAATCAACCCCGTTATATCGACCTTGTCAAAAACAGCGTACGTACATAAGGGCACAGCTGGAAACGTATTGCATTTTATTTGGGCTCGTGTTGCGTAATTAATGACCAATGCTTGACTCACGTGCAGTAGCCTGCGTAGCAGGCACTTTGAAGTAGGGAGTTTAAGATACGGAGACTACGGACTACGAACTACGGCTGGACGAGCGTTGTCCTTTGTTCGTAGCACTGGGTTGAGTCGTGCAAATATAGAACGTTAAGATTGCACTACAGACAGTAGACTACGACAGAAGAGGCGGAGAGGGAAACAACACGCAAAGATTTTCTTGTTTTCATCGCAGTTCACAAAAATGCAAGTCAGTATTGCATCTGATCTTATCTTTAGAACAATGAACAAATTCTTCCATACTTGAAGGAAGCAATTACGTCGGGTGAAATTGGTAAACAAAGTTTTGGTTACACAGGTTTTATTTTTTCGCCCATGGATACTTATGTCAAATATTAAAGATATAGACAGAAATAGTAATAGCTCATTTATTAGATTTAGAAGATGGACTTCCCCGACTTCTGATCTGATGTAGTTTGAAGTACTGAAATGCCGAGTTTCGATTGTCTCGAGCATGTTTACATCATTTTCATTCAGCAAACGGCGCGATACAAAAACTCGCATAAATAAAGGTTACACAAGCGCAAAGACTCACTAATCAGTTCGAACAAACATTGAAACTTTTCAAGTGCGAAGAGAAAGTAAATTACCTGCATGATTTCTCTTCTCCTAGGCCGTCAATCTGAATTCTGCGTATAAACAGCTAAGCTTATTTAGCTAGATAAAAATGTAGTCACAACAGTGGATTAAAAGCGTAAATCTGAGCAGAAATTAGACACAACTTACATATTTCGCTTCCCTCTCACTTAAAGCAGGTGAATTGAAAACTTTTTTACGAAAAGACGAGATTCTTGAATTACCGAGACTGCAAAATACGAGCAAAATGTTCTCCGTAGTCCCGACTACGCGAAACAGCTCAACAACTCACCGTAGCCGCAAGACTACGCGGGAAAAATGAACAGTCACGTGGTTTTGATCATGCGCAGTAGCATATTTATCCGTAGCCGTAGTCCGTAGTCGCCGTAAAAGTCGCCGTATCTTAAACTCCCTAGTAGTGGGCGAAAGAGAGAACGGGCGCGCGTGAGGGAGACAGGCAACACGTGCAGTGTCATTCACGATCGACAAAAGTATTAGAAAAAACCAAAAACAACAGAACATTCAAAGAGTTTTCAATGCAACAGCATCTGCTAATTTATCCGACTAGAATTACTGTACGTATTTTTATTTAATCAGTGTCTTTCTTCATACTGTACTGTACTTTATTAAAAAATGATTCATTGTTACGAATTTTACGCTTCCCCGGTTATTTCGAAACCCCGCTATTTCGAACTTTTTTCCATTTCCCTTGGGACTTCGAAATAGCGGGGTTCAACTGTAATAAGATCGCTAAGATAAGTTGGCGCTAGGCCATAAATACATTTGAAAGTCAAAAGTAAAATCTTATAGTCAATACGCAAAGAAACCGGCAGCCAGTGAAGCTCATAAAGCTTCGGTGTAATGTGAGAAAACTTTCCAATGCCAAGAATAAGTCTTGCTGCTGCATTCTGTACACGCTGTAATTTAGCGATCTGCACATTTGGTAAGCCAAACAATAAACCATTACAATAGTCAAGACGGCTGGTTATAAAAGCATGAACAAAAGTAATTAAAGAATCTCTCGACAGGTATTTCTTAATACGTCTCAAGTTATGTAAATGATAAAATGCCGCATTACAAGCCTTGTTTATATGATCAGTCATGCTTAAGTTTAGACTTCAAGCTGTCGTTAGGTATAGGAATACCGAAATTGTTCTTTTGTGGATGGCAAGTAGGGGAAAACCGTAAGTCTTTTCAAACTTCAAGATAATATTTATTTATTGCTTTGGATACCGAAATTGTTTGTATGGAGTGTAGGGAAAAAACTCACTGTCTCTTTAGACTTCAAGCTATTGTTTAGGATACCCGAAACTGAAACTAAAATCCCCTGTATGTAGGACATTGACTGAGTGTACATGTTTGGCGCATAACGATTCAAAGAGCGCTTCAACAGAAGGCCGCAGAGTAGTAACATACCCTTATCTAGGGTAATGTGTTTTCCGGGTAGAGGAACACATATCACTAGGGATATATGTTTCCTTGGTAGAGTAACACATATCACTAGGGATATGTTTCCTATATCACTAGGGATATGTGTTTCTTGGGTAGGGGAACACATATATGTTTCCTTGATAGAGGAACACACATCACTAGGGATATGTGTTTCCTGGGTAGTGGAACACATATCACTAGGGATATGTGTTTCCCAGGTAGGGGAACACATATCACTAGCGATATGTGTTTCCCGGATAGGGGAACACATATCACTAGGGATATATGTTTCCTATATCACTAGGGATATGTGTTTCCTGGGTAGGGGAACACATATCACCAGGGATATATGTTTCCTTGATAGAGGACCACATATCACTAGGGATATGTGTTTCCTGGGTAGGGGAACACATATCACTAGGGACATGTTTCCCAGTTAGGGGAACACAAATCACTAGCGATATGTGTTTCCCCGATAGGGGAACACATTTCACCAGGGATATGTGTTTCCCATCTAGGAGAACACATATCACTAAGGATATGTGTTTCCTTGATAAAGGAACACATATCACTAAGGATATGTGTTTCCTTGGTAGAGGAACACATATCACTAGAAATATGTGTTTCCTGGGTAGGGGAACACATATCACTAGGGATATGTGTTTCCTGGGTAGGGGAACACAAATCACTAAGGATATGGGTTTCCCAGTTAGGGGAACACAAATCACTAGCGATATGTGTTTCCCCGATAGGGGAACACATATCACTAGGGATATGTGTTTCCCAGGTAGGAGAACACATATTACTAAGGATATGTGTTTCCCAGGTAGGAGAACACATATCACTAAGGATATGTGTTTCCTTTGTAAGGGATCACATATCACTAGGGATATGGGTTTCCCAGTTAGGGGAACACAATTCACTAGGGATATGGGTTTCCCAGTTAGGGGAACACAAATCACTAGCGATATGTCTTTCCCCGATAGGGGAACACATATCACTAGGGATATGTGTTTCCCAGGTAGGAGAACACATATCACTAAGGATATGTGTTTCCTGGGTAGGGGAACACATATCACTTGGTATATGTGTTTCCTTGATAAAGGAACACATATCAATAAGGATATGTGTTTCCTTGGTAGAGGAACACATATCACTAGAAATATGTGTTTCCTCATGGGTAGGGGAACACATATCTCTAGGGATATGTGTTTCCTGGGTAGGGAGAACATATCACTAGGGATATGTGTTTCCTGGGTAGGGGAACAGAAATCACTAGGGATATGGGTTTCGTGAGTAAAGGAACACATATCACTAGGGATATGTGTTTCTTGGGTAGGGGAACACATATCACTAGGGATATGGGTTTCGTGGGTAGGGAAACACATATCACTAGGGATATGTGTTTCCTTGGTAGGGGAACACATATCACTAAAGATATGTGTTTCCCAGGTGGGGGAACACATATCACTAGGGTTTTCTTTTTCCCATGTAGGGGAACACGTATTACTAGGGATATGTGTTTCCTGGGTAGGAGAACACATATCACTAGGGATTTGTGTTTCCTGGTTAAGGGAACACATATCACTAGGGATATGTGTTTTTCCTGGGTAGGGGAACACATATCACTAGGGATTTGTGTTTCCTGGGTGGGGGAACATATATCACTAGGGATATGTGTTTCCTGGGTAGGAGAACATCGACGTTTTTGAGGGACGTACGTCAACCGGAAGTGGACTTTTTGCACTCCTGAGCCGTGATTTTGAACACATTTTTAGGCAAATCATCTAGCAATACAAATTTGGTAGCGTCAAGGCATACTAAAAGAAAAAAGGTTCACTTTCGGTTGACATGAGTCGCTCAAAAACGTCGCTGCTTAAGACGGTGACAGTGTGTAGGCACCTCCTGGCCCCTTCCTTCAATTCACACTCCCCCCTGTTCCTCTCTACACAGAGAAATATCTCTAGTCATCACCAACCTCGCATGATTTGTAATGTTCAAATAAGGACAGAAACCCGACGTCACTTTGTTCATCTATCCCTGTGAAAACATTCTGCAAAAGAAAACACACACAAAAAGATCGCTGAATGCTAGCACCTTACTATAAGACGATTAAGTCGAAAGATTAAACAGAACGTCTAAAACAAAACCTTGGTAAACAGCATCGAGGGACGACGCTAAAACAAAAAGGCATCAGCAGTCGCGTAGAATAAGGGGAATTCCGTCAAATATTCTCGAGATAGTGGGTTTTTATCACTTTCAATCGTTGTAACTTTTTTTGCATATTAGTGACAATCCTCTTTAATAGGTTCGTGATACGGTCAAAACCTGTAAATACGGACTCTGAGGCGGGGTATAGAAAGTGTCCGTATTAACGGGGTGTTCTTATTAAGCGGGTCGAACTAGGAGAAACAGTAAGGGCTTTGTTTCCCCCGGGACAAGGAAAACTGTCACATATGAAAATCGTCTACGGTTCGTAATACGGTTAAAACCCGTGAATAGGGACACTGAGGGGGCATAGAAAGTGTCCGAAATTATTAAGCGGGTGTCGACTGTACACCAATCATTAACAAACACGGGGGTACAAACAGTCTCACTCAGAAAATCGACACTATCGCCTGACGAGGACCAGAAGTACGCGGTCGAAAAGTCGCGATCAATAGAGACCATCGTGAGACCAACGATAACGAAACCCTTTAAACACATTAACCACCACGAAAAATATCTTTCATGACATCGTCTTAAATACTACACCTTTTTCGAACCCCCTGTATCAACCTCCATGATGTTATCGAATGTGTTTGAGACAGCCTTTCCAGTTATTATCAAGTTTACCAGTTTCCGTAAAGGACAATACATGTAATAAGAATGAGACTTTTGCTGCAAATAATGAAAAAACAAAAACAAACAAAAAAAACAACAACAACGGAATTTCAGCTATTAAGAAACAACGAGAGAAAGACGGAAACAAACAAACAAAGTAACAAAACACTTGGAGGATACATCAAAGGACTAAGGGAACACCTTACAACCGCACCTGGGAAAACTGCGTTCAGTATGGTGTTAGCAGGCATACAAAAAATTATAATATTGCACACTCTATTAAAATAAATAGGCACGCGAAGGGATAACCTACAAAGACTATCCATTCCATTTAAGATATAAAGTCGGGGAAATAATCATTATCATCATCCTCGTAGTCATTGTCGTCGTCAGATTGATCCACACCCGTAAATGAAAAAGATTGTAGTATACATGTACTGCATTGAAAATCTTACCTGCGTGCAGTAGTCGTGAGCACCCGTCAGCCTTCCTTGAGGTTCATCCATATCAGATATCACTCTTAAACAACAAGAGAAGTTTAAAGCCACTAAATACTTGATAAGAATCACCAGAAGCTCTCGTACATTAATTCAGTTTCCAATATAATACTAGCAGATTATTTTTCTCGAAATTATTACACCAAGGTTTACTCACGATTTCTACTGGCATTGAAATTTTTTTGCCCCTTGTCAACTATTTGCCGTTAAACTCATCGCCAATGGATGAGCTTGGGAACTGGTGCCTTAATGGTTGGACGGGAGCCTCAGCGCCTCAGGCATAGCAAGGAGGTATCCATGGCAACCATGCGAGCGGGAACCACCCCTACATGCAGCCGCCGACCGGCACCGTCGCACTGAAGGAAATTCAGTGGAAAATATTCAACTGACCCCACACTTACCAACGTATAAACCCAAAAAGGGGAGGGAGGGGTGGGAGCCAGAATCCGCAAAGATTCGAGTAAAAAACCAGATCCGAAAGATCAGCTCAAAATGCCAGCATAAGATCCGACGTAAGTCACAAGATAAGCAATGTACCATGCATATGCACTTACTACTAGGTTGGGATTTAACAGCTAGGAGGTTCTTTTCGTTCTATTTCCTTTTGTGTCCTAAGAAAGTGGCCAGGGGTAATGACAATCCTTATCAGGAGTAATAGACGAAGAACCACTATGTGATACGCTACATCTAAACCATACTTGTTATTTATTCATTTAACCCTATAAGTCCCAAGAGTGACCAACATCATCTTTCTCCTCACGATATTAATACAAAATCAAGACTAAAGGTTATGAGAATTAAAGAAATGATCATTGAAAGGAATTGAAAGGAAAATGCTTTGATTTTTTTTGTCACATTCTCTCAACTAATTCTTTGAGGAAATATCTATTTCATCACTGATAAAGATTATTTCCCCCATTACAATCGTAAAAGCTCATTGTGCTGGTTCTGTAACTCATCTAAGACTTCATATAATGTCCTAAGCCGATTAGGGACTGGATCGAATTGTGCTTATGGGGGGGGGGG